AATATATAAACTATGTTACATGCGTTATATGCGTCTCTAATTATTTTTCCCTAGCAAATTTCAATTGAACCTAAAGCCGCCACGTCAGTTTAATTGATATGCTAATTGATTGACAACTAAGCAAGGTTACTTTTTAATTAATACAAACTTGAGGTTACATCTTTTCAAATGTTTCTCAATTAATATATAGGGGATAGTAGAAATTCTGCTGTCAAATCATGCTGAGCAATATGTCGGTTAACAAGTTAAAATATATATATATATATATATATGTCGGTTAATCCTGTTGTCGAATTTAATCACTCGTTTTTAATCCAACTTGACTAATTCATATAGGTTGATCCTTTTCATTTCCTTATCATTTATGTCCACTTCACCCACTCGACCAAATCAGCAAATTAGCCGTAATTTAGCCCCACTCGGCCACTCGTGAAAACAATAACGTGAAACCCTTTATTTCAAATTTTGAAGACGCGATTTAATACCGCTCATGAATGAAAATATCTACAAGTTACTGAATATAGAAAGAAACATTAAATAGAATCAAAATCTCATAACATGGACATCATTCCCGGTTTGCCCACTAGCACAATATCCTAATAATTAAAAGATACATTCCAAAAATCAAAACCATTTCTAAACCGAAACTATCGGTTACATTCGGTTAATCTGTTCCATTCCCACCCTTATAAAAAACTCCAAAACCCGGTTTAAGTTTCCAAACCGGAGATAAAAATATCACACCGGCCAGATCTAGATCGAACCTCCAGTCCATAAGGCAGGCTGTCACAAAAACTGGCGGACCCCAACCAATTATCAAATCCCATCTAAATAAATAAATAAATACTCACACGAAAAAATCAAAACAACATCTCATTTCCTCCCTTCTCCCTCCGCCGAATAACATTGAAGAAGAAGAATTAGGGTTTCAAGAAGAAGATGCGAGAGATCATAAGCATACACATCGGCCAAGCCGGGATCCAAGTCGGTAACTCCTGCTGGGAGCTTTACTGCCTCGAGCATGGGATCCAGCCTGACGGCATGATGCCTAGGTTTATTCTATTCTAACCTAATTTCGATTTTGATTTTCGATTTTTTGAGAGATTGAAGCTTAACATTATTGTTTTTTTGCAGTGATAGTACTGTTGGTGTTGCGCACGATGCGTTCAATACTTTCTTCAGCGAGACTGGCGCTGGGAAGCATGTGCCTAGAGCTGTGTTCGTTGATCTTGAGCCTACGGTTATTGATGAAGTTCGTACCGGAACGTACCGGCAGCTTTTCCATCCGGAGCAGCTTATCTCCGGGAAGGAAGATGCTGCTAACAACTTCGCGAGAGGGCATTATACTGGTGAGGAAGAATCCGTTTCCTTCTCTTTTAACTGTGTTTTAGGGTGTGCTTGAAAGATGGATTGATGACGTGGAGGAAGTTATGGATGTGATAACATAAAACCTTTGAGTTGAGGCAGAAGGTTTGCGGTTATTTTTGTGATGTGATGAGGTTGATGACGTGGAGGAGTTATCAAAGTTAACATAAACCTTTGAGTTATCAAAGTGATAACATAAACCTTTGAGATGAACCTTTGAGTTGAGCAGAGGCTTTGCAGTTATATCTTTCCTGAAGATGGATGTGATAATCTTGATGACGTGGAGGAGTTATCAAAGTGATAACATAAACCTTTGAGTTGAGGCAGAGGGTTTGCAGTTATTAGGTAGCTTTTGGATTTGATTGACTCGTCTGGTTAGGCCAGGGATTCTCAATTAATATCATTAAAAAGTGTAATTTTCGTTTTATCATTTAATCTTATCTTTGTGTTACAGTTACTGTGATTGAGTTTTTTTGTGTGATTTGGAGAAGTAGTTAGACTCTATCAGGATGATTTAATCTTCTTTTTTATGTACTTTGCAGTTGGGAAGGAGATTGTGGATCTTTGTCTTGATCGTGTGAGGAAGCTTGCTGATAACTGTACTGGCTTACAAGGGTTTCTGGTGTTTAATGCTGTTGGTGGTGGAACCGGTTCTGGTTTAGGGTCTCTCTTGTTAGAACGTTTGTCTGTTGATTATGGAAAGAAGTCTAAGCTTGGTTTCACCATTTACCCTTCTCCTCAGGTACTTTAAAATCATTAATAATTACATTGAAATGTTTCTTGGTTTTTGACTTTTGATGCATTGCATTTTTTATCTCAGGTTTCTACTGCTGTTGTAGAGCCTTACAACAGTGTTCTTTCGACTCATTCTCTGCTTGAACACACCGATGTAGCTGTCCTTTTGGATAACGAAGCTATCTATGATATTTGCCGCAGATCTTTAGATATCGAGAGGCCTACCTACACGAATCTGAACAGGTTGATATCTCAGATCATATCGTCCTTGACGACGTCGTTGAGGTTTGATGGAGCTATCAATGTGGATATCACTGAGTTTCAGACCAATCTTGTCCCGTATCCTCGTATTCATTTCATGCTGTCGTCTTATGCTCCTGTCATCTCAGCTGCCAAGGCTTACCATGAACAGCTATCAGTCCCTGAGATCACTAATGCCGTGTTTGAGCCGGCTAGCATGATGGCTAAGTGTGACCCGAGGCATGGGAAGTACATGGCTTGTTGTTTGATGTACCGTGGAGATGTTGTTCCTAAAGATGTTAATGCTGCTGTTGGTACTATCAAGACTAAGAGGACTGTTCAGTTTGTTGACTGGTAATGATCCACAAGTTGAACACGTTGCTTACCTGTCATGTTGTTTTTGTAAAATTAATACTTTTGTTTTGCAGGTGCCCAACTGGTTTCAAATGTGGAATCAACTACCAACCTCCAACAGTTGTTCCAGGAGGTGACCTCGCTAAGGTCCAGAGAGCTGTATGCATGATCAGCAACAACACAGCAGTTGCAGAGGTGTTTTCAAGGATTGACCACAAGTTTGATCTTATGTACGCGAAGAGAGCGTTTGTGCACTGGTACGTTGGTGAAGGAATGGAAGAAGGTGAATTCTCAGAGGCACGTGAAGACTTGGCTGCATTGGAGAAAGATTATGAAGAAGTGGGTGCTGAAGGTGGAGACGATGAAGAAGATGATGGTGAAGAGTATTGACACCTTCTTCTCAAGCAATGTGCAACCAAAAACTTTTTTCAAATTATGATTTCTTGTGGATTACAAGTTTCCTTTTTAATCTTGTACAATATTCGTTGCACTTTCTTCGTTGTCCTGTGTTTTTATTTTGGTTTCAATTCATTGGTAAAGCGACCAGTGAGACTGAGCGTTCTAAGTGTTCATTATCAAAGCTTTTCTTTAACCAAACTTTCATCTTCTTACAATGTCCATTTTTTTCTTTCTTTAGGTACATTATTTTTCTATTAGGACATTGTAGAGATGTCTTCTACTTTACATAAATTGAAAAGGAAATGTAAGATGAAATCATCATATAGGGCAGAAGAGTTGAGAGAGTGAAGGGAGATCCCAAATGGGATCAGTAGGATCAAAAACCGCATATTCTGCATTCATGTTGTCGTAGTAAGAGGTAGCTCCATTCATTGCATATAGGGATGCAGAGATCTGTCTCTCGAAATCAGCTAAACCCAAATGTTGATCGGTTGAGTTTGGATTGTTGAGATGTCCATATGCATCTCCCTGAGTCAAAGGAACCTGATGGTTGTGTTCAGAGACAAAGGGACAAGAGTAAGGAAGGTGGACACTTTCTTGTTGTAATAAAACTGATGACTCAGGGCGGTACACATCACAGAACGGCATCACTGTGGTCGTGGTGCTGGCCATGGGGCTAGTAGCAGGCGAAGTGTAATTGATGCTGTCTTCCGCAAAAGAAGAGAAGGGTTTGTTTTGTTGTTGCTGTTGTTGTTTCATGCTCTGTTTCTGGTGAAGGAGGTTTCTGATCTTCAAAGACAATTGAGAGTTGTTTGGAAAATGGTTAGCGAAATTGGTGCGAGTATTGGAGCCACGTAGGAGACAAGCAGCTTCATCATAGGCTCGAGCAGCTTCTTCCGCGGTTTCAAAGGTTCCAAGCCACATCCGTATCTTTTGTGTCGTGTCTTTGATCTCTGCCACCCATTTCCCTGAAGGCCTTTGCCTAACTCCAACGAACTTCGTCTTTTTGTTGTTGCCTTTGCTCTTTTGAATTGTTTTCTGCTTTTGAGTTGTTTTATGTTCCATTTTTGTATGAATTAAACAGAGGTAGTGGATGCATAAGTATTTATAAGGATATAATAGTTAAGTTATTTCTCTCTTGTGCAAGATTAAGTCTTAGTGGGTAGCACGTTATTTCTGAAGACTAGTTCTTGTTATTTTAGTGATGACATGAATATGATTTTATAAATGATGTGGTTTTTTAGGTACTATTTGAGAATGATTCATGATGTTTTCTGTTGTGTGGGTTCCATGTTTTAATTACGTGAGCACCATGTCTAATTTCTTTATATAAAAAAATGAAATTACAAAAAGACAAACATTAAGTTTATTGTTTTTGAAGACATGTTGAGCTTAATACTAATATACAGTTGACTATGATTCTGACAAAGTCACAGATTAGTGGAAACCCTCTAAGAAGCTAACTAGATATATGCTTACTATATATGGAGTATGTCTTAAGTTGACACCTATTAACCAGCAAAAATGGTATCCCAAAGGTTTTTCTTCACTTTCTTTTGTCTCTTAGCAACTTTGATCACAGTTGCTAAAGGAGACAACAACAGAAAGCTATTAACAAGTTACCGACCACAATATTCACCTCCTCCATCTCCGGTTTATCGTTACCCTGTTGCTCCTCCTACTCCGGTTTATAAACCTCCTGTTACTCCTCCTACTCCGGTCTATAAACCTCCGGTTACTCCTCCCACTCCGGTCTATAAGCCTCCGGTTGCTCTTCCTCCTCCTTCTCCTAAACCACACGCCGCCTACTACTACAGGAGGTCTCCACCGCCACCACCCTCTAGGCATGGAAGAGTGTATCCACCTCCTCCTTCCAAACCATGGTGGTGGTATTTGTAGACGTTAAGGAAGGATGCCAGTGGCTGATGGATTGTTATCTGAAAGAAGCTTGTGAAAACATTGAGTGATTTAATGTTGTCTTAACATTGTTTTAACGTTTCTCAGTTTGCCGAATTTTCTCCATTTTGTTTTGGTTTTGCTGTTTGTAGTGTGACTGAAGCTTTATTGCTGAATCGGGTTGCTTAACCATTATTAATTGTATATTCCAAAGAGTTTTTCGTGGGTTATCTCTTAAAATAAATTCGTAAGTTCACCCACCAATTTAAATTATCACTTTATATTCATTTTTTAATAATAACGGAACAGTAAAAATTATTAAATTATATTATGTTTTTGTAATAAAATAATATAAATAAAAAAAATATTAACTATAAACAAAGATATTTTTCGATAAATTTTAAATTCTCGCGTAATCCTAAAACCTAGAATTTAAGTTTTTGAGTTAGAATTTTGCTGAAGGTATTTGAGATTTAGTATTTAAAATTTATAGTGTTTAGTGTTAATGAATTAAGACTTATGACTTATTCAAAGATTTAGGATTTATCCAAATTTTAAGATTTGGTATTTTGTTGACAATATTAAAAATGTTTAAAAAAACATATTCTGTTTTGACAGATGTGTTAAAGTGGATTTAAGATTTATTCAAGGATTATTTATTTATATTTTTTATTTTAAAAATATAATATTTTTTTTATTATTTTGTTAAAAGAATTGAATATAGAGTGGCAAACTATTATTGATTGATCATTAAACAAGAAAAACTCTACCAGAACTTGTTGACTAAATTATCAAATGGGCAGTCTTTGTTTATGTTTTAAAGACTTCTTATACAGATTATTTTTTTTAGCAACTACGACAAGTTGAGTGATATACATATCAAAAAGATAATTTCAATAAAAATCCAAGAAAAAGAGTACAAATAACATTGGCACGGAAGAAAAAAGAATAATAGACTTCTAATACAGATTCTTAAAGAGATATCCAATACATAAACCATATTTTGACTCACATCTTGCATATAATGTCATCCACTATCGTGATGTAAATTTATAAAATCATGTCATGTTACATGGCATATCAATACTTTAACAAATGCCCAATTTGAGCGATTTTTTGGGCATCCTTGGTGGGTGGGGTTTACTTTGTGAGATTGCCAAAGGAAGTCAATGGCTTATAGTGAATCCCAAATATTTTTGACGCCATTATAACAACCCTGGAGCAAAAGGAATCTAAACACATAAATGCAAAACTGACGACGCTCACAAGAGTGAGAGACCCACGATTTAGAATGAATTTAAGATGAAAGCATGGATTAGAGAGCGAGCTGCTGCTCGGGTTTCAGTATTGACCATATCAAAGCCAATGCTGATTGTGGCAGTGTTTTTTGCTGCAGTTGCCTTATTATATTCACGTTTGTGCTCGTATGTTTTAGGGTCAAGTCTTAGTAGATGCCTCGTTTTCTGAAGATTTATTCTTATTATTTTAGTTAATGATGCAGATGTCTTTGTTATGTGGGTTCCATGATTTAGTTACGTGCGCACCATCTTCTAATTCCTTAATATAAAAACGAAATTCCAAAAGACAAATATATATGGCATCCTGCTTATTGATTTTGAAGACAAGCTGAGCTTAATATACACTTAACTATGAGTCTGACATAGTCACAAACAAGTCAGATCCTGGAATATCCGGATAAAACATTTGTTTTTGGTCTCCAAATTCTAAAAGAGGTATTATACTTAGAATACATGCTTCAAATTGGTATTTTTTTATTTTATTTTATAAAATTTAATTTAAAATGTTTATAACCTCATATATCTCGCTCGTCATAGATTAGTGGAAACTTTCTTAAGTGAGATTACTATATAAATGTCGTAAGGATATTGACATTTAGTAGAAAACTATTGACCAGCAAAAATGGTTTCCCAAAGGTTTTTCTTCACTTTCTTTTGTCTCTTGGCAACCTTGATCACAGTTGCTAAAGGAAACGACAGCAGCAACAGAAAGCTATTGACAAGTTACAAGCCGAAATATTCTCCTCCTCCTTCTCCGGTTTATCATCGTTTTGTTGCTCCTCCTACTCCGGTCTATAAACCTCCGGTTACTCCTCCTACTCCGATCTATAAACGTCCGGTTTCTCCTCCTAAACGTCCGGTTACAGCTCCTACTCCGGTCTATAAACGTCCGGTTTCTCCTCCTAAACGTCCGGTTCCTCCTCCTACTCCGGTCTATAAACGTCCGGTTGCTGTTCCTCCTCCTCCTCCTGGACCAAAAATCTTCAGCCAACTTAAGAGGTCTCCACCGCCACCTCCACGACGCCCTACACGTGTAACAGTGTCTCGTTTCCGTTCTTCCAACCGTGGTTTTTGAGGCAATAAGAAGCATAAAAGTGGATGATGTATTGTTGCCTGAAAACAATAAAGAGTGCATTAATGTTTGTCTTCACTTTGTTTTGACGTTTCTCAGTTTGCCGAAATTTTCTCCTTTTTTTGTTTTGTTTTGTGGGTTCGTAGTGTGACTGGAACTTCTTCTTTCATTCGGCTTGTTTACCTTTTTAATTGTATTTTCCAAAACTTTTTTGACTAAACATCAAATGAGCAGTCTTCACTTATCGATTGAGCACGTCTTCTTATACAGACTCAAAAAGAGATATTTAATGCAACACCATTATCTGACTTACATCAAAGTGCTATCCTTCTGTGATTGCAAAAGGTCTAATCCAGCTATTGGTTTATAGTAATAGTACACCCGGAAGATGTTCCTAAGATCCTTGTGTGGAGTTAGATTGCTATAATGTGCTTTCCAGGTAAAACGTCTTATGGTACTACGAAAATCGAAAATATCATGGGTGTAACGTAAACTTGAATATTTATTTTCGTATAAATTACTGAGAGAGTTCCGAATTTTTTAATTTTTTCTCTCAAAATATTACTGTTATATAATCTTTACTAAAACTAGTTTCACTTGTAGAGACCATTCGTGATTGTTGTGAATCTTATTATTATAATTATTGACATAATCTTCGTGACTCACAATCTCTAACATCATATACAAAGGAACATGGCCAAAATTTTAAGGCAAAACTAACAATGTTAGGCCATTGCAACTTCTCCACGCCCTCAAGTACGTGTCACCAAACGTGGAAAACGTTTCCGGTAAGGAAGGACGAAGAAGGATGACTAAAATGAGAGTAAGCCAGAGAGGACAGACATTTCATGTAGTCAAGTCAGACGAACCAGAGTGTTCTTTGGCGTGACCGTGTTTTCTTGATTAATTTTCATTTTTGAACAATACCTTAATATAGCTGTAATTATTTTCATTAAAAGAACCGGAAGTTTAGAACGACTAGTTTACCGAAATAACAATATAAAAAGATAAAATTTAATTTGGAAAAAGCCAAGCAAAAGAGTACAAAAATAACAATGGCAATGAGAGAAGAATAATCACTCCAAAAATTCTCACATGCATACAAAAACTCAAAAAATCGAGACCCTTTCTTTCTGATTTAGTTTCTCGTATAAGCACCAAAATCTTCATCACTCCCCAAACCCAGAAGCCAACACCAAACCTTTGTGTGTTTAGGGGAATCATTCCCTCCTAATATACACTTTCATTTCATAACTTAGAAAGGATTAGATAGACCCATTCATCATCCCTCCCCAAGAAAAACAAACGCTGAAAAATGCAAAAGAAATGTAGTAAAAAACTTTAAAATGCAAAACTGACGACGCTCACAAGACTGAGACCAGCGATTTTGGAATGAATTTTAGGAGGAAAGCATGGATTGGAGAGCGAGCTGCTGCTCGGGTTTCAATGTTGACCATATTGAGGCCAATGCCGATTGTGGCAGTGTTTGCTGCAGTTGCCTTATTATATTTATCATACGACCTCCCGTCTCTTCTGTCACCACATCTTTCCTTGTTAGCACCTGCCCAGCCACACACAATACATGAATTGTGTCTTTTTTATCAAGTAAAAAAACAACGAATGAAAAATGAGAGGCGTCATTATTACACAAACCTCAGCAAATACTGTTAAGATTTTTGGCAGATACTGGTTATTGGGGCCTAAAAGGTCCACATCTTGCCTGCAAGTTGATATCAACGTTTTAGAGAGTAGACAAGAAGGGTAATCATATTAGAATACAAACCCATTTGATTACCTCTCAACCATTGAGCAGAGCTGATCATGAACCACTTTGGCTTCCATGACATCATTACTTATAGGTAAACAGTTCAACCACGCAGGAAGTACCTAATATTACCCAAAACAAGTAAACTTGTTGATTATCAAAAATAACCACATGAATTCGTGCGGAGCAAGCAGCAGCTGGAGATGGCGAAACCTTAGTTAGCTATCATAAGCTACCTGAGAGGAATCGATACTGTCACGGTGAAACTGGCAAATCTTTCCCACTGCGGACACAGCATTATCATATGCCATGGCATTTTCAGACTGTCGAGCATTTGGATGCTGTATCACAACATTTAATCTTGACAGGGCCTCTGTTGAAACAAAACAAAAGTTATGTTAGTACTTAGCTGCAAAGCAAGCATTGAACCTCCCCAAGAACTACCAGTGGGGAAAGGTATTCCATACCTCCAACAAGAGGTTTGAATACAGATCCACCAAACTCAGCGCAAACACCAAGCCCATAAACGGCAGCCTGAACAAACAAGAGAGTCCATAAAATTGAGAATACAGCTCCACATCAAATACACAAAATGCAGGCTATACCTGTCGAACATCTGCGCTCTCGTCATTGCACGCTTCCAGTACGAATGGAAGATAGGTATCATAATATCTGACAAACAAATAGCAGAAAAAATCACATCAGATAACTAGATACTGAAAACGTGCAATGTACACAGATCCAGTGATGCACATCCTTACTTAAAGGCAGCGTCACGGCACTGTTCTGCAACATCATCAAATATGCATATTGCAATTCTTCTCTCTTCAGCTGTTTTATCTCTTCCCTAAACCCAACGAATACAACCCACAATCAATATCAAAACAGAAAACCCAAGGCGAGCTAAGATGATTCGTATCAGCGCCATGCCCACAGCATATTTTAGAAACTCTTCACCTGAACTGAACTACACCAATTTTGAAAGACTATTCATCTGAACCATGGGGCTAAAATTTTCTACACATATTCACTTGTGCTATGTCAATTTGGTTATATGTTAGGAAATACACGACCTTCTGCCCATAATATCATGCAAACACCAAATATGAAGAGACTTGAGTGATGATGACCACTTACCCACATAGGAGTTAAATAAGAGGATAATTCATCGAAGTAAGGCAGAAACGAGGCCTTGAATGTCTTTACCAGTGTTCCCAATATTTCTCCAACCTATGTGCAGACAAATTTGAATCAGAGCATTAAAGATCGTATAACTTCATCCTACTTCCTCTTGACAAGGGTTGAATCATAGAAGATTAACCTGATCAAAAATTTCTTCCTCTTGCTCATTTTCCTCCTTAATAAGCTCTCCCTCTTCAGCGTCAAAATCTTCAGCATTGGCCCTCTCTCCTCTCTCTTGTTTCCTACTTGAGCTTGCTGTCATAACTTGCTTTAGTTCATCAACTATGGATCTAATTTTCCCTTCGTCCAAAAGATTTCCAGAGATCTGAAAAACAGTGACAGGTTATAAGATACCATTTCCAAATGCAATGCTACGATTAACTCTAAGGGGCACATAATAAAGACTGCATTCAAAATAAGTTATCTATCACAACAAAACTACCAAGAAAGTGCAGCATTATCAAATCGAAATGCTGGAGAGGGACATGCGGCACATAGTACAAGGAATGTTAAAAACTTCTCTTCATGCTAATGAAAAATTACCTGCAAGCATTCATTCATAGCTTCCAACATACTGACACAGATCTCTGTATCAGGCTCCTACATAAAATTCAATCATCAGAAGTGGAACAAAGCCGAGAGAAAAATATGTACAGAATATTCACTAACTTTATGCAAAGCTTCCAGCATGGCTGGAATTATGTAGTCAGAAAGCTGCTTCAAGTAGGATAGATCGCGCCCATCGGATTGTCCTTTCTCTATTGCCAGTTTGGCTGAGCGCATTAGTTCCGGCATGGCTAGAAAGAAAGTTACACAATTAATAAGAATTATGCTCTACAGATCCCAAAGATTGGACTATAATCTAAAAAGATTGAATTACTGGTTGACTAAAAAAAGATTGTTTACTGATTTACCTGACACAGCAGCTCTTCTAACTTCTTCGTGGAAATAGAATTTCAGCAAAGGAACCAATGTAAGTGCAACCTGATCAACCCAGGGAAAAAAACCTTCTTTGAGCTCATCAGCATAGCAACAAAGCATGTTACAAGCTGTGGCTTTTTCCTCTAGGACACTCGTTTTAATTCCTATTCTTTTGTCGCCCAGGATAATCGTCTCCATGCTGCATTAAAAAAAAAAATATTAAACCATGTCACATCATAATAGGAACAGAATGTCAGCAAATTATATATCAAGGCAGAAAAAAAACTATGCAGGGGAAGCTGCACCTCGAAGAATACAGAGATTACTCATGCCATTATTTTCACAACAAAATTAAAATAGTTTTTTCATGCCAAAGTATACGACATACTAAAAAAAGCAGGGTAGAAAGACATCACAACAATCAGACGGAAGTGTAAAGAAAAATGGAAAACCTCTCATCATCGGAATCCTCTGCTTCATCTTCTGAATCAGCAGATGTAATTGTTACATCTGGCTTAAGTTGAGCTGACTGAAGCAAAGGAGGCATCACAAACTTCATGTATGGGAGGAACTCTTGGCCTAGACACTTGCAAAGCCTAGCCCATGCCTATGAAAATGTAAGGTAAACGTAAGCAACTGAATTTACTGTATAGCCCTAGCATGTTGTAATGAGAATTCACCTGTAACATGTAACTCGTTATTGGATCATCTGCCTCCATTTCAGAACCTTGCAATGACATAAGCACTTCCATGACCTGGAACACAAATGTAAAATAGTTTCATGCGACAGATGAATAGGATGAAAATCATATAGATAGCTTGAAGCTACTAATCTGTAGTACAAAAATTAGATTACAGCGTATAGCATCAATTTTGAAAATTGATTTGACCCATGTATATATAAGCATACCTGTATAGCATCAGCCTTAAATCTGTCTTTTCCAACTGCCATTCCAACAAGACTGATGCATTCCATGGATTTGGCACGAAGCATCCGCTTAGATTTGTCAGTTGCGTTCATCAAAATAGTTTTAAGATAAGGCATGACAACATCATAGTACTTTTGGAAGTGTTCCTGCAAATTTAGATTAAGTAACATCATGAGTTGCCTGCAAGGAAAATAATAGATGCATCATAACTTGTTCACATATACCTGCGATGAATCAGCAACTGACGCAAGAGCCGTTAAAGCTCCTTCTTGCACCATTTGTTTTCCATTCTAAATGTAACAATATGATAATCCAAAGTCAGTTACTGAGCGCAAACGTTTTAGTTATTTATTGCAAAAAAAGTTACACAATGGACTTACTTGTAGGAGCACAAGCAACTTGCTGACAATTCCGTCCAAATAAGGTGCCAGTATTTCAGGTGTACAATTTTCACTGAAGTTGAGTACAGCTGAAGCAGCATGAGCCTACAATAGATCACATAATACTACTTTAGGAAAACGTCATATACTCAAATAAACATGTTTAGCAAGGATCTGACCTGCACACGTGGATTCTGGAAATCATCCATAGAAGCAGCAAGTGCAGGGAGCACTCTCTGATGATGTTGGTTCTGCAAATCTGGACCCAAATCCGTAGACAACTGTCCAATCGCATTTATGGCTGCCCATCTTACTCGAGGATGAGAACTTTGAAATTGGCTCAAGATCATTGTCACCACTTGCTCAAGATTTTTAATCATCACCTACATCAACATTCAAGATATTCAAGATCAAATTGAAACCCCAAACTGATGTATAATACAAGTAAACACTACTGACAAAAACAAGTTAGTTAAGGAAGTTAATACAGTTACCATCTCAAAGCATTTTACCTTTGAGCAACCTTCAGCAATCTGAGCAAGCGCAATCAAAGAAGCATGATGTTTCTGCCACTCAGAACCAACCAAGTACGCAGAAAACTGCTGATACGCAACCGGAACAATAGTATTCCCTCCCAACGCAATCGCTAACCGATCCAAACACTCCTGACCCATACTATAGTTACTCGTCTCTCCAGCATCCTCATCCTCAGTCTCAGCGCTATACCAAGCAGGATCATCCTCAATATCCTCCAACATCTTCATCAGAGCCGCAAACAACCTATCAATAAACTGAGGCAGCTTCCTAACCATCCCAGGCGCACGCTCCCTCGCCTCAGCGAGCGTCACCAAAAACTCAACCGCCAGATGACGCGTACTCTCCTCAAGCGACTCAGCCTCTGCAATCTGAAGCATCGAGGCAACGATATCAACTAGCTGCCGTCTCAAGAACCGCGGCTCGGTCCCGGCCAATTCGATGAAAAGCTCCAACGCCTCCTGCGCCGTCGCTTCGTTCCCATTGTTTAGAGACTCAGTCAACGTCCTGATCATCGCTGGCAACACGTCTTGAAACCTATCACGCTCGGTTGAGTTCGTTAGACACTGGACGAAACTAATCACGGCGTTAAGCGCCGCGATCTTGACGTCCGAATTAACGGCGTTACTACTCAAACACTGGAGGAAAACTCCGTGTAGATGTTTAATGTGAGGAGTCAAACTCTCCCCAACGTACTGTGACAACTGCGCTAATATCAAAAACGCCGATTCCTGCAGTTTCGACGAATCCGACGCCACGCACTGGAAAACGAACGGGAGCAACTCAGGCCACCCGTTCTCCGGGAGGATCCCGGAGGCGAGCTCGGAGACGGTGTCGCAGATCTTCTTGGAGATCGATTTGGCCTCCTCGCGCTGGATACAAGCCATCATCGACGATTTCAGCGAGGATTGAGTTTGGAGGGAGAGACGAGGCCAGAGGTAAGCGTCGTCGCGCGTGAGGAGCTTGCGGAGGAGGACGGCGGCCATGGCGCGGGCCTCGGGGTGAGGGGAGAGCTGGAGGAGGTGAGCGAGCTTCAAGGCGAGGGCGTCGGGATTGGTCTGTTTCGCGAGGTTGAAGAGAGACTCGGCGGAGGAGCGTTGCTCGTTGGATGAGGACATGAGGTGGGAGATTAGTGTCTCGAACGGCGCCGTTTCGGGGCCGAGGATCATCGCGAGTTGCTGATTCGCGTCGGTGGCCATTTGGGGATGGTGGCGGCGGGAAAAACTAGGGTTAAATTTGCTGTCTCTCTCCTCTTGTTTTTTTGGGATTGCGAGTTTTAGAGAGAGAGAGAGTGGGCGGAATGAGGAGGAGATGAGGTTTTCTCAAGGGATAATTATATATTTGTTTTTTAATTTTTTTTTTTTCAATTAGTCGTGGTTTGAGGTGGTGTCTGGCGTGGGCCGCGCGGGTAGCCCATTATTAAATTAGGGAAAGGAGGAAAAAGTTAAGGGTTAATAATATGTGATTAGCTGTATTTCCAACTATTTATGTCTAGTTTTTATATAATTACGAGTTGGCTTTTGTTATTTTATTTACGGAATATATCTTTTATATTAAGTAATGAATTTTTTTTATAAAGTGTACATTTTCAAATGTAGTACTGGGATTTTGCCTGGTCTTAGAACATCTCCAACCCCACTCCAAAACCCACTCCAAACTCCATTTTGCAGTAAAATCATCTCCAATCCTACTCCAAAACTCACTCCAAAATGGAGTAACAAACAGTGGCGGATCTAGGAATTAGTTAATGGAGTGTCAAAAAAATTTATTACAAAAAATAAGGTGTCAAATTGGGCTTGAACTTGGATTAATGGGGTGTCAAGATATAGATTTAACCGAAATGCCAAGATTTTTTTTATGATTTTACATGTAAAATTTTTTTTATATAGATTTAAGGGGTGTCATGTGACACCCCTTTGTCTTTAGTACATCCGCCACTGGTAACAAATATGATTACTCCAAATATGGAGTAAACCAACTCATTACTCCAAAATGGAGTTGAACTTTTTTATTTATCAAATAGTCCTCCACATTTATATATGTTTCATTTTTAATAAAATATTATTATAAATAAGTATTATATATATTATAAAATTTACTGTTATATTTCTTAATTATATAAATAGCCTCATTTTTAATAAAATATTATTATAGATAAGTATATTAATATTATTTTATTATATATTAGAAAATTTACTGTTAATATTTCTTAATTATATAAATAGCCTCGTCTTTAATAAAAATATTATTATAAATAAGTATATTAATATTATTTTACTATATATATTATAAAATTTACTGTTAATATTTTT